CAAAATCTCCAACCCGTCCTTGACCTCCTGAGGTAGGTCCTTGACGTCCTTGCGGTTCTGCGCTGGCAGTAGCACCGTCTTAACCCCCGCTCGGAGGGCACCGATGAGTTTTTCCTTGATACCTCCGACAGCGGTGACCCGGCCGCGGAGGGATATCTCGCCCTGTATTACATGTCACATTAGTTACGCCGGTCAACAATTTTTTATTCTTCATTGAGACGATGGATAGTGAGAGAGAGACAAAACAAAAAAATTGCATGGTGTAACACGGCAAAACTCAAGGTTCGGCAGTGAAGACGTACCGTCATGGCCATTGTAGGTGGCACTGGCTTGCCAGAGAAGAGCGAAATCAGGGCAATGGCCTGCCCGATGCCACTGCTGGGTCCGTCCTTGGGAATTGCTCCCGATGGACAGTGGACGTGAATGCTGCGGTCCTTCATAATGTCCACGTGCGGGTCGGACGTGAGGCCCAGCTCGTACGCATGCGCCTTGACCCAGGTGAGAGCAACCTCAACGCTCTCTTTGAGGACATCGCCCAGCTTGCCGGTGAGCTGGACGCGTCCGTTGCCGGGCATGTCGGCTACCTCGATGAAGAGGATGCTGCCGTTGCCGCCGGTGCTGTAGGCGACGAGCCCCGTGACGATGCCCGGACGACTCGTCTTCTCGGCAATTTCCTCCTCGTACTTCTCGATGCCGAGGATGCTCTCGAGGTCGTCGACGGTGACCTGGCGCCGGTACTTGTCGAGGGTGCCATTGTCTCTCGCCTCAGCGTACTCAACAGCCTTGGCGCGACATACAGAGCCAATTTCACGTTCCAGATTGCGAACCCCTGACTCACGGGTGTACGACTCGATGATTTTGGACACCACCTCCGGGGTGAACTCGACCTGGTCCTCGGCCAATCCGTTGGCCCTGAGCTGCTTCGGGATCAGGTGCTGGATGGCAATGTGGCGCTTCTCAAGCGTGGTGTAGCCGGGGAGATAAATCATCTCCATGCGGTCCAGCAGGGGGCCTGGGATGGTGTCGAGGCTGTTGGCGGTGGCGATGAAGAGGACCTTGGACAGGTCGACGGGCATGCCCACGTAGTGATCCTGGAAGCTGTGGTTCTGCTCGGGGTCCAGAACCTCGAGCATGGCGGCCGACGGGTCACCGTGGACGCTTGCCGAGCCAATCTTGTCGATCTCGTCGAGCAGGAAGACGGGGTTCGCCACGCCGACCTTTCTCAGGCCCTGTACGATGAGCCCTGGCATGGCCGCGACATAGGTCCGCCTGTGACCGCGGATTTCCGCCTCGTCACGGACGCCGCCTAGGGAGATGCGGTGGAACTTGCGGCCCAGAGCAGTCGCAACCGACTTGGCCAGGCTTGTCTTGCCGACGCCAGGAGGGCCAATGAGTAGCATGATGGGAGACTTGTCGACGGCGCGCTTCGATTTGAGCACCTGGAGCTTGGTGAGCTCAGATTCTGACGCCTCCTTGCGACTGACGTTGTTCTCGACCTCCTCCTCTGGCTTATTGTCTTTGATGGTACCGTCCGTGAGAGTCTTGTCGGCGGCAGCGGCATCTGCTTCCGCCTTCCGGATTTGCTCCTCCAGATCGTCGTTGATGGATTGCTTCAGCCTCAGAACTGCCAGGTACTCAATGAGCCTCCTCTTGACCTTGTCTAGGCCGTAGTGGTCGTGGTCGAGCTGTTGCCGGGCCTTTATCAACGTATCGGGTCCCAGCCGGTCATTCGTAGTGGTTGTCCAAGGGATTTCAGCTATCGTCTCGAGCCAGTTCCTTGTCACCTGGTACTCCTGGTTCATGGGCGGCATCCTCTGCAGCCGCCGCAGCTCCCTGTCTACGGCCTTGGCAGCATCTTGCGGGAGTTTTGCTGCCTGCAGCTTCTTCTTCAGCTCATCGAGCTCACTGGCATCCTGGTCTTCGCCTTGGTCATGTCCTCCAGGGGGTGGCAAAAGCCCCATGCCGGCCATCGGAGGCATCATGTTGGGATTCGGCCTTCTGGATGGGTTCTCGTTCAACCGATCAATAATCTGAACAGGAACGGTGGTAAAGGTAGTGATCTTGAAGTTATTCTTGATGCCGCCGACCTGACGTTCCAACAACTCAATGACCTTAGTGAGCCGAACCTTGGGATCGAGAGCGGCTAGGATACCGAGCTTCTCTTCGTGAGTTGCATCCAGAAGGTTGGCCATGAAGTCGGCGAGCATTCCAGCCTCCTTGAGTTCTCTCCTGATGATGAGCATCTCTAGTCTCTTTGTGACTGCGGGTGATAGGGAGGGGCCGCCTGTGCGAGGCAGGAGAGAGGAGATGCGAAGGATTGTGACGAGCTCTCTTGAGCGCAGCTTGAGCAGACTAAACAAGTCTTGCAACTGCTTGTCGGTGACGTCGACTATAGCACAATGATGTTAGAAAAAGCCAGGTCCAGAAGCAAGCTTATATGGGTGGTATGAACAGAACGATATAGAGACATACTCTCGTCTTCATAGTATGAGACCGTGGCCTCGAAAAAGGGCCGCTCGCGAGTGACCGAGTCTACCCTCACTCTGCTTGAGCCCTCGACACGCAGCGCAAACTCGCCAGACCCGCGACCATCAATGCCGACAATCTTGGCCGCGACTCCGAAGCCAAACAGGTCGTCCTTCTTGGCGGTGCCGGGGTTGACGGCATCGATGCGACTGCTGTCAATGTCCTCGCCATTGGTGATGAGCAACTGGCCGTCGGGACCGACCAGCGGCGACGAGACCGGGACGCATGCTATCGGGATGGTGTCGATGCGGCCATCGGGGCCCTTTGATGCGGCGAGCTCGTAGACGTGGGCGAGGAGGGCCGGGATGTCGGGCCGGCTGGAGTTGACAGTGATGCGGTAGGCGAGGCCTGGAAGCAGGACCGTTCCGCGCGGGAGGGGGATCAGCGGAAGTGTCGCGGACTGGGATCTCCCCATGGCGATGCGGCTGCTGTCGGGTGGTTCGTTCGAGGTGGTTGGGACGGAGCGCGAGGAAACAAGAGGCTGGAGCGCAAAGCAGAGGAAGAAGAAGAAGCGATACGCTGGAACAAACGGAAACGGCAATGGCTATGGATGGGAAGACGGCGAAGCAAGGACGACGATTCGGGGGTATCAGATGGTGATGCTTCGCAGGAGGGCGGAACGCGGTGGAAGCATTTGGGCAGAAGAAGCGTTGAGCTGTTGTTGATGTCAAGGCCCCCGGCTTATGGCATTGGATAACGTAGGTAGCGGCAGCGGTCCGTTGGCTCGACCTTACCTAGTGGCAGCTTCGAGTCAGTTCCGTCTATGCGACCCCGGCCTGGTTCAATGTTGCCGAGGCTGATGGTGGAGAGCGCCTATTGGCCGGCGGGGGAGGTAAGATGCCGCTCTCTCGTGATGGTGATGCTGGTGATGCTGGTGATGGTAATGGTGATGATGATGATGGTGGTAGTAATTGGATTGGATTGGTCGATAGTGGACGGGAGAGAATATGCGATGGCTGGAGATGGCAGTCCGGCATTCCATATCCGAGTTTACGTGTCTGAGCTGTGGCGGTTGGTCTTGCCTGAGTGTGGATTTACGTGTCGAATGGCTCGAGACCACATGCATCTACAGTATGGTACCTACCTACCTACCTACCTACCTAGGTATCGATTATTACTGAGGGAACCGAAAGACGGACCATGTTGTAGATGAGAAACAATTCAATAGTCATCCAATGGCAACAACCACCTATTTCGAGCTTTCGAGCTTTCATCTGGATAGAGAATCAGAGTCGACAAGACGACGTGAAGTTGCATGTGCCTTGATACAACACCAGCCACAGCTACCTCAGTGATACGGTAGGTATCCAATGAGCCACCACCATCTTGGATGGTCTCGAAGCTGTGCTTCGCTGCTGAGTCAGCGCCTCTCCCGCGACCCAGCTCTCTAGTAGAAGCCCACTTTGTCGCTGTAGCCTGTCGCGGGGCGAAATCCATTAAACTCGAGTCGCGCTTCAGACGCGTCGCCTTCTGTTGAGAAAATCCAAGAATCATCACCACATCTGATCTTGACATAATGTGTAAGGCTGCCTTGCTGACTCTCGCCTAAACAATCATGCTAACACTCAGCTCTCTCGGACAGCTGCATACGGCGGATACTCAAAGACCAGCTACGGCGCCCAAGGAGGCGACGACTCTGGCGGCTTTTTTGCCGGAGGGGGTTCACAGCAGGGCAGCCAGGGCGGCGGCAAGGTCAGTGGAAGCCTGGCCGATCCTGCAGACGACAAATCACCAAGCTGACATGCGTGGCAAATAGTCATACCAGGACGAATCATTACGGCCCTTGACCATCAAGCAGATCCTCGACGCGGAGGAGCCATACTCGGGCGCCGACTTCAAGGTCGACGGCGCCCCCATCACGCAAATCACATTCGTCGGCCAGGTCCGCAGCATAAACCCGCAACAGACGAACCTCACAATCAAGGTCGACGACGGCACCGGCCAGATCGACGTCAAGAAGTGGATCGACGTCGACAAGCAGAGCGACGCAGAGCCCGGCTTCGAGATTGACTCGCACATCCGCGTCTGGGGCCGCCTCAAGTCCTTCTCCAACAAGCGGCACGTCGGCGCCCACGTCATCCGGCCGGTGACGGACTTTAACGAGGTCAACTACCACATGCTCGAGGCGACATACGTACACCTGTTCTACACTCGCGGCGCCGCCGGGGGGGCCAACGCGGGAGGAGACGCCAACGGAGACAGCATGTTTGTCGACGGCGGCGACGGGTACAATGCCGGAGCCCTGGCAGGCCAGACGGCCAGCAAGCTCTCCGGGTGCAGCAACAAGGCGAAGAGCATGTACATGTACCTCAAGAAGTCGTCGGGAGACGGCGCTGACGGGGTGCATCTGAATAAGCTCACGGCGGAGCTGGGGCTGGGGCTGCGCGATGTGATGGAGGCGGCGGACGAGCTCATGGGGCAGGGGTTGATATATACCACCATTGACGAGGAGACGTGGGCGGTTTTGGAATATTAGGAGACACTAGCACACTGCATTTTCTGTTCATGATATATGTATTGTACGGTAGAGACTGGATTTGGCCACTGTGAGAACAAGGCCTTCCATGCAGTTGCAAAAAGCAAAGCAGCAGCAGCAGCAAGAAAAATATAATGAGCGTACGAACTTGAAATCAGCAAAAAGATATAGCAGAAACAACCAGGCAAAAACATCATCCTGCAAAACGTTCAGAACGCAAGGAAACAGTTGATTCCCTGCAACATGCATCTCGAAAAGGTTGATCGAAGGAGAGTCAGAACGAAAAGGGGGGGTGAAGAAGCAAGCCAAGCACAAATCAGGATTGTAGCTCACTTCATCATCCAAGTATTCAACATAGACTTACACGACATATCGCCGCTTAAGGCTTGTCAACGAGTCTAGCGACTTACACCTTGACAATCTCAATCTGGTCCATTGTCGGCACGGCTTCCTCGGCCGCCTTGACGGCGACGGGCTCGCGCACCATGATGAAGAGTGGAACAGGCACCGGGCCGCGCTTGAAGGAGATTTCCTTGCGGTACTGGAAGCCGAAGCGCTCGTAGTAGGTGATGTTTTCGCGAGAGCTGGACTCGAGGTACATGGCGCGGTTCTCGGCATCAGCCTGGTCATTGATCAGTTTTCATCATCTCAACTGTTTGATACATATTCAAAAGTCTTGTTGTTACCTTCGCAGCCATGTCCATGATGAGCTTCTTCGCATAGCCCTTGCCTCGAGCGCTGGGCTTGGTGCCAATGTACGCAAGATAGTAGTACTCGCGATCTCCCATGACCTCGTCCATGGTCTCGTGCAGGAGAGGCAAGACATCTTCGTAGTAGCGCTTGCGGCCCTCTGAACCGAGCTGGTAGTAGAGGCGCCACATGCCGCTTCGGAAGATGGTCCACCAGTCGTCCATGTGCGCCCCAGGGGGCATCCTAGAGAAGAGTCAGTCGGTCCCATATGCCTACTACAGTTGTTGTAGAAGAAAGATATCCCGAGACTCACCACAAGGCCACTGCGTCATAGTCCGGGCCAATGGTCGTGACGACGCCGCTGTAGCAATGGGCCGAGACAAGATAGGTCATGATGCGCACGTGAAGCTTCCACTTGGCCTCGTCCGAGTAGCGGTCCGCCTCGCCGCCGTCGAGCAGGTACAGGCTCAGGGCGTCGGCGGCGAAGGCGTGGGCGAGGGAGATGCCCGCCTGCTCGCACTCGGCCAGCCCGATCTTGCGGACCGACTTCTCCCAGGCCTGGGGCACGAGAGAGCGGCGGTGGTGGTCCACGACGGTGACGGTGGAGGAGGAGGTGGTGATGTTCGTTTTACTGATGACGTGCGCCATGCTGGGCTAACTTGCGTTGGATCTTGTCGAGTTCTTGTGGTTTCTTTGAGGTTCAATGGCTTGACTCCTTCACTCAATGATACTGCCTGTATAAGGGGGAATACGCAAGCAGAGGCGCGCCCAGTTTCAGTATTTTGGATTCATGATGGGGAGACTCTCTCACACGCAAAAGGTACTCACGTATACTATTCTGTGCGCTATCACCCGTATGGACTCTTGAGAGTTGAGATCTCGACACGGGCATAAACCTGGAGGGGTGCTGCAGGCAATTGAGGCAATCGCGTAGGTCAACCGACATCAATGTGGTGTTTAGGGCCTCAGGACCGTTCAATGATGGAAATTCGGGGGTTATAGAGAGAAAGAGGGAGATTTGGTGGGAATGTGTGAAAAGACAACCCGACAAGGACGAAGGTAGGCTTGTTGGTATGTATTTGATGGAAGCGGGTTCGGTATGAATCACCGGTCAAGCAATCAATCACTTCACTGACGACGACCCGGGAAGGATATCGTCTATGCAGAGAGGGTGAAGATAGAGACGGGACCACAGTGGGACGAGGATGAGGTATGTTTGGTTGCGACGTGGAAGACGACAATGGAAGAAGTCAGAAGACGATAACAAGTAGTAGATAGGTAGGTAGGTAAGGTATGAAGCGATGAACGCTTAAACAGCAGCCAGCAGAGCGGGATACAAACAGGATGGCCTCTTTGCCAAGCTCTTCAGAGTTTGTATAACCTAGGAGGCTTAGTTCCGAGTCTCCTTTTCTATCCCTTCCCCGTGCGTGTCTCTCGTCTCGATCTGTTGAGGTCAAGTATGCGGCGGCAGAATGGGTGTATGTAGAGTTACGATAGATGGATCGGTATGGGTGGGAAATAGTCCCCGATACTTGCTTGCCGAAAGAGATCAGATTAGATCAGATCAGATGGAACAAGAAGAGAGATGGCCAAGTAGAGTGATGAGGAAGAAGGGTGATTGAGGACTGGGTTCTTGTAGGGGCAGAGCAAATGAAATGGAGATTCAACACGGATCGGCAGCCGGGTATTTAATCCTGGGCAGATTACCTACCTAGTACCTACACACGAAGTAACACGGGACACACACACTTCCTCTCTTGCAGCAGGATAATACAGTACGGTGCATACAGAGCATCAATGACACCGGCATCCAAGTTTACTACTACCTAAGGATAGGGGATCTCTGGCAAGCGGAAGCCCGGACGCCACCGAGAAGCCGGGGTAGTGTCCACTAACAAGATAACAGACGTAGAGCACGGAACACTGATAGTGAGCGGTGCCCACCGGCTTGGCCCGGCTGAATGGGTGTCTGTCTGTATGTACGAACGAGCAGGCAACAGAAGCTTGGAGGTTGGGAGAGTGAGGGGCGATCCGTGATTGGGCGGGCGGCCGAGGCCAATGGTCAGATGATACGCCGCCCTGGCTGGAGTTGGGGGAGGGGGGGAAACGTGTCGTGGGATGATCTATTACTCGGAGGTCTCAGTTGGTTTTTGTTGTTTTCTAAGTGGCTGTCTCTGATTGATGGCTTGCGTAGTACGGTGAGCTAATGGTAATGGCTGCCAACATGATGTGTCTTGTATTTGGCAACGGCAACGCAGTAGGATACTGAAATGCCCAGACACGATAATATCCAAGTGGTGAAACCAACTGACAATACCACCAGGTACTCATCACCATCCTCACTATGCAGTGTACTGTAAGACCTACTAGCATCATCAGACGGCCTGGTTATCTAGATCCTTCCCCAGGGCTAACCGCAAGAGGCTGCTATCTTGCACTCCATCTCATTGATAGCCAAGATGCGGAGAGTGCTCTCTCCCCCCATGCAGCCTCTGATACGAACTTCTCTGCAGAATCAACGTCAGCTTCTTAGTGACACCAGACCCAGAACTGGGACCCTTTTTTTTGCCCATCCAGCGGATGAACCGGCGGGTCCCGGCGCCAAGGGCGCTCGACCTGGAGCCTCCCCCAGGAAATATGGCCCACTAGGACTGATTGATTCATGGAGGGCGCCCCGGTTGACTGATGACTGATGCCGTTGGAGGTTGGAGATGGAGAACGCTGAGGCTGATGGCGCGGGCCGGTATCGTCAATGTTTGATAGCCTGCCTCGAGGAAACACACAGTCGCTATGATCATGTCGATTCAAGAATTGATTGTAGTGTTTACTGAATAATGGTCAAGTAAAATAAAGAGTCCAGAAACAGTATTCCGCAAAGCCTCATAGACTCGTCAAAACGTGGGGGAAGACACATGGATGGAAATGGCCTGGTTGGGCTGCCATCTACAAACGACTGGGCGCCTCCGAGCGAGGGGGAAAAAAACGTGGCATAAGCCGAGAGGCTGACGGGTGCAACTCGGATCACGTTTCCCTTATCTCTCCATTATCATCATGTGCAACGCCTTCGTGCATGTGCAGTCAACAGTGGGCAATATTGGCCATTCGCCAAGTGACAAGTGATAAGACAGGGTGCTCTCCCTTGCGCGGGGGATGAAGGGTCGAGGCTCCAAGGGAGGGTTGAGGGTTCGTGACCGGCAGCTTCCATACAATATATACATACTGTACTTACGTTGTTCGAATTTATATCCTCTATGTATTACCTAGGTAGTCGTAAAGCGTGCATAATAGGTGAGAGAGGGCAAGCAATCAATGGTGTTTCTGTTATTAATTAGTGTTGCGGGAATGGCCGATGGAGGGTATGGTTGCTGCAAGGTGAGATGTGATGCTTCAAGGCGATCAGCATGTGAATGAGTTTACTTATAGATATTTGCATGCGCCCCTCACTCTTCGCCGAAAGTGTGCGTCACTAGAAGTTGTATACAGTCGCGTGAAAGTATGATGATCGTAAAAAGGAAAGCTTTGATTACATGACTTGGGAAGAGCTCTGTTGTTCCTAATTCTTAAGGCAAAGGGGATGAACTTGATCTCCTTCATTGCGCACTCATCTCGGCTTCTAGTACGAAATAGGTAGCACGGCGATGTAAGCGGATGTCGCTCATGGATACTGGATACCTGAAGGTACGTGTATAAGGCGACAAAACATTCATTACTTGACACCTCACTACGTATGCTCACAATCCAGCATCATTTCATCTGCCTTTTGTCGATTTTGGCATTGATTCTTCCTTTCCTCGAAGCCTCAAATTTTTACGACCAGAGCTGCAAGACAATTCACTCCTTTCGCTGTTCAGTATACTATGCGAATCCGTATACGAGTACGACCCCAACTGCGAGCACGTCCAACACATTTCGTCCGATGTTGTTTCTCTCATGCAGTGAGCAGAAAATGCTATTCCTCTCCTAAGCGCCATATTTCTGCCTTCTTTCATATATGATACATGGTTCACGTTGCACATTGTCCCGTGCGTTGAGCTTCTAACCATTAGACAGCTACTAGAGTGCATGGATACATGAAGGATTGCTCGGCAACCTAATCGATTTGAGGTATGCCGTAAGAAATTTGACGTCGACAATGTCCCGTCTAGAATCGGAAGCAGAATCCATTTCAATTCTGGGCAGACTATCTGTTGCTGATAGCTCCAGACAATGGAGTACGCGAGTTCCGAGAATGAGAGTGACATTATGCCGGTTCCATAGCATCTTGATCATCGCATTTTGGTATCTAAATTCTACTCTTCTTCTAGGACATCTAACAATCATCGTAACTTGCGGAAAAAATGGCCGTCACATCGGCTGTGCAGCCTCGGCGGCCTGACATGCAGCATCTCCCATCATTATATAGCCCTCGCAAAGGAGTTGTCTATTTCGCCCGCTTATTCGTATTACATCCCGTCGTATTCGTATAGAGCCCCAATTACAGCATTCGTCGAATCTCCTGCTCGTTTGTGTACTTTTCCAGGCCGGAATCAAGGCTCCCCCACCACTCAAAGAGCATTGAGTTGCAAATGAGCTTGAACCAGGGAGTGAACTTGAGGCTGGGGTCCTCAAAGAGCTTCTTCAGGCCGTCGGCGGTAACGTACTGGGTGGCCTGGACTTCGTTGGGGTTGGGGTTGACGTCGACGTTGGCCTTGATGAAGAGGATGTAGTCGACTATTTTCCCAAGATTAGCTCAAAAATAACACCCATGAAAGCCTGGTGGATGAATCATACTCTCATGCTCGCCCCATTTGCCGTCGCTGGGAGCCTTGTAGTGGATTCGAGTCAGGAAGTGAAAGTCTTCAAAGGGAACCTGCTCCGGCTTGATGCCCAGCTCGTGTTCCAACTTGCGCTGAGCCGCTCGCTTCGCTCCAGCAATGGAGTCAACCAGGTTGGCGCCGGTCTCGGTGGGAATGCTCAGAGGGTGGGAGCAGCAGGTGTTGGTCCACATGTCGGGGAAGGTGATCTTTTCCGAGGCGCGCTGCTGGAGGAGCAGCTCGTTCTTGTCGTTGAAGAGGAAGACTGAAAAGGCGCGGTGCAGGAGGCCCTTGTCGATGTTGGTCATCAGGTGGCCTACGCGGGATCTGTTAGTTCCGACAAAGGACAGGATGGACAGTCATCAGGAAGGGAGAAGGCTCCGTACAAATCTTCTTGCTGGCAGTGCCAATTGGCGCATCGTTCTCGTCCGTGACAATGCACACCTCGTCCATCAGGCGGATCTGCTCCTCATCGTGGCCAGACAGCGCCTCGCTGGTGGTGTCGATGTCGGGGAAGAGGCGGAGGATGGTCTCGGCCGTGATCGGCTGCGCCTGAGTGGTGGTTGCGGTCACCGTCGTCGTCGACATGGCTGCTCCTTTGTGTTACGAGGTTGGAAAAATGCAAAGAATGACTCCGACCAGCTAATCAGAACGCCTCGCAATTGGAAAGGAAAATGAGTGCTTCAGCCTTTTTGTCGGTGGCGATGGGCATCAAGGTTTAAATATGCGATGAAATTATGGCCCAGCTGGGAAAAGACCCTCTATCGGGACCCCTTGGCACCTTGTGGGGCCGGCTGTGGTGAGCGAATACGATTGGCTCGATTGGAATTGCTCGTTATAACGCTAAGCCTCAAGTCGAACTGCGTCTTGTTGTTGGGCACGGGACGATGATATTGTTTCCTCTGGTTAATATCCGCTTCAAGTTCTCAGCTTGCTAAGTACAGTAACCACTGAGCTACGAGACTCGTCCGAGTTCCATTCCTTGTGTGAAGTACGTTTTCATTGCTCCCATGATTGAAAAGGCATATTCGATATAATGCATGTATGGCACTCAGAATCATATCGCTCAAGCGGGGCGCTAGACTCCGCCAATTCGGGCTCAGGCACATGCGCCCCGTTCAGGTACAAAGTACTTGTACATTGGTCTCCGTACCCTCTTGGCATCTCCAGCGCCTTGGCTGCACTGCATTCCCTCTAGCACTCGTTAGCAGCACCAGAGCTTCGTCACTCCTTGTCCTGACACCCCGTTTGCTCCCTTCCGTCTCTTGCGGCCGTCTTTGCGATTCGCGATCTTCTTGCGTGGTGTTGAGGAGCCTGCGATTGTCTTTTCGCCTCTCATTTGCGACCAAACGATACCTTGGTTCCCCTGGGCTGAACCCCCCCCCGTTGACGAATCAATCTCTCCCGACCCCGAAGCCGCACAAGCCGAGCTCTGTCAACGATGCCTCCCAAAATCGAGCAGAAGGAAATCGAAACATACTGGAATATCTTTGTGGACAGGACAGGCGGCGGACAGTTCCTGACTGGCGACCAAGCCGCGCCCGTCCTCAAGAACAGTGGTCTTCGCGATGATCAGCTAGAGAAGGTCTGGGATCTGGCCGATGTGGACAATGATGGAAACCTCGACTTTGAGGAGTTTTGCGTCGCCATGCGACTCATCTTTGACATTCTCAACGGGGTAAGCTACAAATGCTGCAGGTAACAGCAGACGCGTCACCAGTTACTGACGGCCTTGTTCGCGCGCGCCAGGAGTTTGCCGACGTACCGAAGACGCTCCCTGACTGGATGATCCCCGAGTCCAAAGCCCATCTGGTGCAGGCGACCAAAGCCATCACAGGGAAGCAGCCACAGTTCGAGCAAGTCGAGGATGAGGACGACACGCCCGGCTTGAAGGATGGATTTGAGTGGTATATGAAGCCTGAGGACAAGGCCAAGTACGAGCAGATCTATCAGGAGAGCCGGGACATGCGGGGAGAAGTATCATGTTAGACTCCCTCTTGCCCTGTTCGGACTTTCAATTGAGATGGCCGGTAGACGCTGACCATGCAAATAGTCTCGGCCCTCGAGGACCTTTACGAGTCGCTGGACGTCCCCGACACGGACATCCGATCTGCCTGGAACCTGATTAACCCATCGGCCTCACCAAGCATCAACAAAGACGCATGTCTTGCGTTCCTTCACATTCTCAACAACCGACATGAAGGCTACCGGATCCCCCGAACAGTTCCTGCCTCCTTACGATCAAGCTTCGAGCGCAACCAGATCGATTACCAGGTTGACAACCAAAGGGGTGGTGTGTCGTCACGGTGGGCAACCAAGGCGGATGACACTACATCGACGGGCCGCAAGGCAAAGTTTGGCGATCAATACCTGACACGACTGGGGCGCAGCGGCTTCAAGACAGCGGGCACCGACTTTTCGACGGAGAAGACGGAGGATTGGGAGGAGGTCCGGCTTAAGCGCCAGCTGCAGGATTTGGAAGAGAAAATTAGAAAGGTTGAGGAGATTGCCGAGAGGAAGAAGGGCGGGAAGCGCGATTCCAAGCCGGCACTCGTCAAGAGGGAGCTGGATCAGCTTCTGGACTACAAGAGACGGGAGTTGAGGGACTTGGAAGAGGGCAAGGGCAAGAGTGCCGTTGGCGGTAACTTGAAGAGCATATCGGCCGACTTGGAGACTGTCCGTGAACAGGTGGACGGCCTGGAGGCGCACTTGAGGTCCCGAGAACAGGTTCTGGAGCAGCTGCGGAGGGAGATTGAGGAGGAGAAGCGGAGCTGAGCAGTGGTGGGGATCTAGGAGGGAATCTTGGGTGACTTTTTCACGCTTGAATCAGATGCAAGATTGGGTTGATGGTGGTTTTCGGTATATAAATTGTACACTTATTGATAGATGAAGTTGTAATGGAGGTGAAGTTGGTCCCATGTCACTGCTTACGAGGGGGGGGGAGGGAGGCTGACGGCTGACATATTCGGATTGGCCGTCTCTTTGCCTCATGGTGCTTTGTCTTTTTCTTTTGATCCTGAATATTGAACCTGATAGACTATAACATTACTGCCTGTTTGACAACGTTGCGTCAAGCTGTATGAAGGACAGAATAGAGAGATACCCTACTCGGCATCTGCCTCCAACATGTGATTGTGACCTCCTGTACGTGACCCTCAACAAGCCAATCGCACGATCCCAACAAAGCGTTCATGTTCGTCATTTGCCCCTCCTTTTCGGCCTTTGACTTGCCCCCCCCTTTAGTACCTAAAAGTAGGTAGCCAGTGGTAAACCAAGTCCAGTTGCTATTGCCCCGACTTAGCTTCAGCTTTAGGCGTTACCCCGCCGGCCGAGACCAGCGAGCTTATTACTAGGCAGTTTGTAGTACTTGTAGGTATGAAGCTTTTCTTTCCCTCCTCCCTTTCTTCTACCATACCTACCTAAATACCTGACATATTCAGAACAACATCGACAAGTCATCATGTCCGCCCCCGAGTCTCCCGAGTTCAGCAAGGCGCTGGTTGAGGTCAAGCAGTTGACCAAGAAGCCCAACAACGAGGAGCTTCTGCGCCTCTACGGTATGCGACGGCCCTTTTCTCCTGGGAAGCAATGACGACGTGCTCTGGGTGGGAGAGGTTGAAGAGCAGGCTCGGTGCTCTTGACAAGCTAAATTGAGAATGCGCGAAAGATGCTGATACTTGTCTGTTGTAGCTCTCTTCAAGATTGGCAAGGGCTTCGAGTTCAAGAAGTCTGACGAGCCTTCACGATTCTCTTTCGAGGTACGCAATCACGTCGATTCTAAGCGCCAGGATCCTCCTTTTCTTGACCCCTCCCCTCCCTTATCATCCTTCGCGACCCTTTGTCTATCGCTGTCCACGACGCTGACGTTAATCTGTCCGCTATAGGCCCGCGCCAAGTGGAAGGCCTGGGAGGCCGCCTACGAGGAGGAGGGCATTACCGAGCCCGCCGTTGCGCAGCAAAAGTACGTCGAGCTCGTCGAGGAGCTCAAGACCAAGTACGAGTTTGACCCCAACAAGACTCCCGAGTAAATGGGGCCATCTATATATACCTGAGGTAGACGTCGGAGGCAGTTTGTGCTGCTTGCAAGAGGGGGGTTATACATGTTGTTGCCTACCTAGAGATGCTTTGCCTGGCATAGAATGCCGTACAGCATGACGATGAATACACAAACAAACAAACTATCAAAGAGAAGATTTGTCTTGCCTTTGAACGGGTCTGTGATGATGTATGATGGCCTTGCTGAGGCTACTGTCGAGAGCTTTGGTCCTGCTATTGCTGCGGTTCTATTGCAGTAAGTGTAAGGTTGGGGTATAAACACTTCTGATGGCTTCTGCTATACGCCTACCGAGGGGATATACGTAAAATCAACATGTGATAGGCTTCTTCTGACCGAGGACTGAAGCCATCGCCAATGGCAGGGATAGTAAAGCATGCCTCGACAAAAGGTCCTGCCTCCTTCCCCATGCGGAGTAGGAGCAGGACCAACGTTATGCAATATTAGCCAGCAAATCCTTCGGTCCCCCCTTAGGAGCCTAAACCGCTCCTCATACATAAGTCGTCTCTCATCCTCTCCCGTCTCCCTTGCTTCCACCCCTCTCCTCTTCACTTGGTCTGAGTTGCTTCATCCTCGTATCAGATAGTTGTTTGCACGTCATGAACATATCAGCCCCCCTTTGTGCTGCCACTGCAGACGCGTCGTTCGGCCCTGTTGTCGATGCGGCCTGCCGTGATGGCTTCGACTTTACCCTGCTCTTCGAGCAGTCCATCTTTGTCCTTCTTCCCGCGTCACTGCTCCTCCTCGTGGCACCGCTGCGACTCTTGAAGCTGCGAAAGGCGTCGGTCAAGGTCACTGACAATGTATCGCGTGCGATCAAATTGGTAAGCTGTTCTCCTTGGCTCCCGCCCATGCAAACGGCCACCATAATCAAGGGCCCAAAACATGAGAATTGACAAACCACCATCTTCTCCCCTTATGATCACAGTCTGTCACAGCTTGCCTCGCAGCTCTTCAGCTGGCCTTGATCGCCCTCTGGGCAACTCACGATGGTCCAGCGCGTCTGAACGGCGTCTCTGTCGCTGCTGCAAGTGTCTCCTTTGCCTCAAGTCTCATGTCCTGTGCCCTCTCGTATCATGAACATGCCCGGTCCCTCGGCCCCTCGTCGCTGCTGAATGTCTTTCTGCTCGTATCCCTCCTGCTCGATGCTGCCGTCTTACGAACCGTGTGGCTCTCCCTCTCCAGGGCAGCCGTCAGCACGGCCATCCAAGCTGTTCTCACGGCTTCCTTTGGTCTCAAGATGGCGCTGCTCGTGCTCGAGGCGAGAGAAAAGTCGGGCCATGTTGCAGGCCGGCAGGCTTTGGCTCCTGAGGAGACGTCCGGTCTATATAACCGCGCCGTCTTCGCTTGGGTGGCTCCGCTGCTTCGGACCGGATTCAAGCGTTTGCTTCAGCCGTCCGACTTGTTTCCTCTGGACGAGAAGATGGGCGCTTCAGGACTGAACGAGAGGTTCTGGTGGCACTGGCAAAAAGGTTGGTGCTTCCCCCTTCAAACCCCCTTATTAGATAGTCGTAAAAGCAAATACAATACCAACCATAAGACATAAATTAAAACCTTGTAGAAAGCTCATCGAGCTGTAACTTGTCGAGCCTCGTCGGTTACGCCTTTACTAACTTGTACATTTCCCATCTTCTATCCAGCATCTCCCTCTACCCAGGCGAGCAAACATCGCCTCATCCTCTGCTGCATCAGCACCCTCCGCTCTGCTCTCATCTCCGTCATTGTACCGCGGCTGGCCCTCCTTGCCTTTACCATCTGCCAGCCCCTGGTTCTGACGCGCTTCCTCGGCTTCCTCAACGACGAGACGCAGCCGGTCAACATTGGCTACGGGCTCGTCGGGGCCTATGGCCTCGTGTACCTGGGCATTGCGGCGACGCAGGCGCTCTACTGGCATCAGAATGGGCGGTGCGTGACAATGCTCAGGGGTGTTCTTGTTTCGGCTGTGTTTGCGAGAGTTACGGATGTGAGCGTTGTTGCGGCTGATGATTCTGCTGCGTTGACTCTTATGTCTTCTGATGTAAGTCGAGTCCCTACACATACTCTCTCCTCTTCTTTCTCCTTATACCCCTTCAAGATGCTTTACTGACATATGACTCATCCTGTCGTCCTATAGGTGGATGTCATTGGCCGTGCTATGAGAGAAATCCACGAGTTTTGGGCAAATATCCTCCAGATTGGCGTTGCGACATGGCTCCTGAGCAAGCAGATTGGATATGCCGCCGCGGGACCCATCATTGTCTCTGTTCTTTCACTGTTAGCCACCCTATTTGTTTCGCCGCTGGCGGGCAAGTATCAGGTTGGTTGGCTTGAGAAGACACAGAAGCGAGTCGGTAAGTCATACATGCTGTCATTCTCACTCCCCCCCTTTATATCTCAAGCCCAGCTCATCATATACAAGGAATAACCTCTGCCATGATCGGCCACATCAAAAGCATCAAAATGTCCGGTCTCTCAAAGCACCTCTCCGCAACCATTGCCTCTCTACGAGCCCAAGAAATCTCCGCCTCCAAGCCCTTCCGCGTCGTGGGAGCAGTAACCTCGTCCGTGGCCCAGATACCGCTGCTACTCTCCCCAGTCTTGGCCTTTGCCATGTTCCAGGGCATCACGGCGGCGACGGGCCAAGTGCTGGATGCTACGCGAATGTTTGCTGCGCTTTCGCTGATTACGCTGCTTGCGCAGCCGTTGTTTTGGGTATTTGAGGTGGTGCTTGACCTGAGTGCTGCGTTTGGTGCGTTTGGTCGTATCCAGGCCTTTCTCGTCAAGGGTACGAGAGAAGAGTATCGGACTGTGGAAGGGACTGATGTGCTCGGCCCGTCTGCTGCTCCTGGGGGAGAAGCTGGTTTGATAGAGCTCCAGACTCTGAGACCTCTCAGCACTCGCGCTTCTTCTTCCCCGAGTATTGCGCATACTGATACCGCTGCCATTGACCTTGAGAACGCTACGTTTTCCTGGTCACCAGAGCTTCAGACTTTGAGCAACATTAGCTTCTCTCTCAGCCGCGGCCAATTTGCGCTCCTCATTGGGCCCGTGGCATCTGGCAAGACGACGTTGCTCAAAGGCCTCTTGGGAGAAGTTCCTCACTCCAGTGGAAAGGTGTACTTGTCCAGCAGCCGTCTTTCCTGGTGTGAGCAGACCCCTTGGATACTAGTGAGTGCTGAATTTGTTGTCTTCCATTTGTTTTTTTTTTCCTTCCCCTTTATTTTCCCTTTACATGGAAGGTTAGTGTAAGCTGAGTCTATTACTTAGAACCAATCAATTCGGGACAACATTATCGGATACTCTCACTTTAACCAGGCCTTGTACGACCAAACAGTCAAAGCGTGTGAACTTGAGGAAGATTTGAGGCAGCTCCCTCAAGGCGACTTGACTGTCGTTGGCAGCAAGGGGCTCGCTCTCAGCGGTGGCCAGAAGCAGCGTGTTGTGAGTCTTTCCATTCCTCGCATACATCGAATCAGAGCAGCTAATTGCATCTCATTCTATGGGTAGGCTCTGGCGAGGGCTGTGTACTCTCAACCGCGTATCGCCTTGTTTGATGACATCTTCAGCGGACTGGATAATGCCACCTCACAGCGAGTCTTCAAGAACCTATTCTCCTCAACGGGACTGTTCAGACAATGGGAAACCACGATTGTTCTTGCTACCCAGACTGGTATGTTTCTCCTTGCCGCAAAGCCACCTATAGAATATACTAACACTTTGGTCAAGTCGAGTTCCTTGCGTCAGCAGATCTCATCATAGCCCTGGGCCATGATGGGAAAATCACGGAGCAAGGATCCCTCGCACAGTTACAAGCCGCGGGCGGATACATTCAGACTCTAGTAGCCAGTAAAACCCTTGTCGAAAATTCCGACGCAGGCCAAGATGAGATCTCCTCGGAATCTAGAGACAGTGATACCGCACCGAAAGTGGAATACAAGGCCAAACAGGTCGAGATCAAGGAGGACAAGCGCAGACAACTCGGAGACTCGACAGTCTACAAGTATTACTTTGGCAGCATTGGAAAGGTCTTTCTTGTCATCCTGCTCGGTATCGAGATTGTTTGGGCTTTTCTCCAGAGCTTTCCGAGTAAGTTCAGATCTCGGCTCAGCTCATATAGTTGCGTTTTCCCTTAGATCAGTTGATAAACTAACGCACTGAGCAGCTGTTTGGCTCAAGTTCTGGACAGAATCAAACGGCCAAGGAAATGACAACTCAGGTTACTATTTGGGAGTTTATGCTGCTTTACAGATTATGGGCGTCCTCTGGTTTGCTCTGCTTATTTGGTAAGTGAAGCATTTCTCCTTTGTGATCCAGTCGAGATATGCTTTTGATGCTGACAGAAACAGGTTCGTTCTCGTCATTGTCGCAGCAAAGTCTGGAATATCCCTTCACCAAAGATTATTATCAGCCGTTGTCAAGTGAGGACACCTCCAATGCCACATACGTGTACTTGTACACCTCGTACTCATTGACTCTAGTGCACCACTGTCTCTTTTCACAACAACCGATCTAGGAGCCATCACCACAAGGCAAGCAGCAGATTACCCCCCTTTTATAAGCTCCTGCTCACTCACATATGCCCCAGGTTCTCTCAAGACATTGGTATTCTGGACAGAAACCTCCCTCTCGCCCTCGTGGTCACAATAGCAAGTCAGTACCCATTCACTTACACCTTCTCCTCCTGTCTACTAGGCTAACTCGGGGATTCATCGAGTACAGGCTTCTTCGGTGTCCTCGCCAGAGCAGGCCTCCTCGCCGCCTCATCCTACTACGTCGCCATCAGCTTCCCCTTCCTCGCCGCCCTATACTACTTCCTTCAGCGCGGCTACCTCCGCACCTCGCGCCAGCTCCGTCTCCTCGATCTCGAGGAAAAAGCCCCCGTATACACGCAATTCATGGAGACGCTGGCGGGAATTTCCACCATCCGCGCGTTCGGATGGCAGAAGCAGGCCGTTCTCAAGAACCACCAGCTCGTCGACCGGTCGCAGAAGCCGTTTTACCTGCTCATCATGGTCCAGCGATGGCTCGTCCTCGTCTTGGACCTCACCACTACCGCGTTGGCGCTTCTTATTGTCGGGTTTTCCGTCAAGCTCCGGGGTTCTGTGTCGGTGGGACTTACAGGCGTGTCGCTCGTTCAACTTATTTCCATGAGCGAGACGCTGAATATGCTTATTCAGTTTTGGACTTCGATTGAGACTTCAATTGGGGCTGTGGCTCGCATCAAGCAGTTCGCTGAGGAAACTCCCGACGAGAGTCTTCCGGGCGAGGATCGAGATGTTCCTGCTCATTGGCCGGATAACGGACACATTGTCATTCGGGATCTGGAGGCATCGTATGACGAGAGTGGTGGCATCAAGGCTCTGGATGGCGTTACCCTGGACTTGAAGCCCGGCGAAAAAGTCGGCATTTGCGGGCGCACAGGCAGGTAAGTCTCGATTTTTTGACCTCCCTTCAATGTTTGATTCAACGCGTGAGCTCTGCGTCTAATCATTGATATATGCATCTTGTTTTCTAGTGGCAAGTCATCTCTCCTGCTAGCCCTCCTCCGTCTGCTCAACCCATCCTCCGGAACACTCACCATCGACTCCATCCCACTGGATACCATCTCCCGCGAAACCATTCGCTCTCGCCTCATCACCGTTACTCAAGACCAATTCGTGCTCCCGGGAACCATCCGCCAAAACATCGATCCATCAGACTCCTACACCGAGGAAGCCATCATCGCTGCTCTCCATGCAGTCAAGCTCTGGACCGCCATCGACTCCAGGGGCGGTCTCAACGCTACTTTCGAAGAGGACATGCTGAGCCATGGACAGAAACAGTTGTTCTTCCTCGCGAGAGCCGTCTTGAAGAAAAGTTGTGGGAAAGTCGTGCTCTTGGACGAAGCCAGCAGCAGGTAAAGCACACAGAATCTCCACCACAATACTATACAAATACCATGCCCGAATGCCATGTCGCTAATGAGAGAGAAATGGACAGTTTGGATCAAGAAACAGAGCAAATGGTCCGTACGATAGTCAACACCCACTTCCAATCCCATACCGTCATTTCGATCGCCCATCATTTGGACACCATCCTCGATTTTGATCGCGTCGTGGTCATGGACAAGGGTCGCGTTGTCGAGGTTGGATCGCCACGAGAACTGCTGCAGTCAGCTGGCAATGGCAAGTTCAAGGCTCTTTGGGAGGCCAATGGCCGCGGAGGGCTTAAGTGAAGAAACAAACTGTGTTTGTCCCAGGCGAAGAAGACGTTTTTAAGCTATAGTCTGTTATCGGGACGGCTTTCGACCTTGATATACGAAGAGATATGCCGCCATACTCATAAAAAGTGTGATCTCATGCTGCTCGCTCTACTAGCTCAACCTGGTAGAGACAAGAAATAGACAAGGTGGAAGCACGCGATGCCTATGTCTACGTATAATTACAGCACTTTTCATGTATCCAGCCTGTTCCTTTCCACCGTGATGATCCTCCCTTTTCCTGCCCGCATAACCCTGATATACTTCTCAACACTAGCGGCCACATCTATAGCCTCTCGGTAAGCCATTAGCTCAGAAGGAAGAGCGTCCTCTCCGGGTGTCCACCCAGTGAGTATCCGGAGAAGCGTCACTTTGCCCCATGCTCCGACCCAGTCCACATGATCATGGTCCGATTGCAGCATCAGGGCCTTGAACCACGGAGCGCATCCAGTGAGATCAAGAAATTCTAGCGCGTAGAGGTTCCTGCTGAGCATCTTGAGCACCAAGAGAGCCTCGCTCCAATCATGATCGATGGAGTGAGAATAGTAACTTGTCCCTCCGTACGCAATACTCTGGCCCTGCGGCGTGGCCACAGTGGAGCGGCGGGCTCGTGGCGTAAGGGTCGGATCGGGCCAGTAGGCGAGGCTCAAGTGAGTGACGGTAGTGAGCTTCGACGACAGGGACAGCAGCTGCCTCCACGAGGCTTCCGAGGCTAGCTGGGGGTCGAGAGCGAGCGACAAATGCGTCAGGTTGGGTAAAAGCGCGCGCGGAGGGCTAGGGATGCTCTCGCTCTCTTCCCAGGATTCCTGCGGCTCACTCGCATTATCTTGCTTCTTTGATGGAAACAGGAGGTCGGATACCTCCTTGAGGGTCAGAGAACGGCCCAGAGCACCCGACAAGTCCAGGTAATTGACCTCTGGGTTGACGGCGATCTGATTCTCGGAGTGGTACTCGGACAGTTCATCATCTTCCGCTTCCTCCAGGTCGTCTGGAGAGGGGAGCAATATTAGTCTGAGGTCTTCTGCCGACAAGCCTCCCGGGCTCGCAATGCCAATCCATCGAATGAGGGCAGATTTCAGATGCGCAGGTATATAAAACAGATAGTGCTGGTGATACACGCGGTGGATGTCCCAGTCGACAGCAATTCGCCTTAGGATAATGTCGATAAGACTCCGCGAAGCGGGCAGGTAGGTGCCTGGCAAGGCCGAGTCAACAAGACCACACCGGTTCACGGTCGACCGCGACGGTTGACCCTGAGGATGTGTAGCACCGCTCCTGGAAGCAACCCAGCTTCGCGGGGGAGGGGGGCCAGCTGGAAGGCGGCGGCCATTGTTGTCCAGCCTCTGCCTGTGCTGCCGCCTGGGTGCGGGGACTGGAGTGTCTGGGATCTGCAGTATCTCCCTGAGGGCTGGCGGCACAGACGGTGTTACGGGGGGCAGTTGTCGCGGTGCAGATGGATCCAGAGAGGCGTGCCGCAAGCTGGCCAGAAGCTCGTTGACGCTTCTCGGAGCCTTGCCTGTGAAAACGGCGGTCAGTATCCGTATCCGTCAACAGCCCGGCATAGAGCTCAGCGGGCACTCGGATCGAGAGCACATGAGGCTTGGGGCATGAGGGCAGCCGACACAAACTCACCAGCTGCGTTGGACGAAGACCCGGACGTCGGAGATGCCGTCGACGCTGGCTTGAAAGGCTTGAGATGCTGCCTTTTCTTAGGCATGCCAGGAAAGCCAGGGCAACGTGTTTGTGTTACCGGAAGCTTGCAGGAACCAGGTCGCGAGTTGCGAACCGCTCATATACTCACTATTCAGTGCCCTTTACCAACAACGATGACTCGACTCCAGGCTCCAGCCGTCGTTTGAAACCTGGCAAAGCCCCGCTGGCCGAAGCCTTGAGTGAGCCACAAGGCCGGGCTAGGCCCGCTTCGTCCAATGCGCTTTGGCCCCCCCTGTTCCGCCACCTCCATCATGAGGTAAGATACTGCAACTAGTAGCAGCACCAAAGTAGTAGGTGTCTTCGTCTTAAACGGACGACACTCCGATGGAGGGAAAGGGGGGAAACGAGGAGACGGGCAACCATTCTCGCCTCCTCCGCGTGCAAAGACTGACCGGCTGCTGCTTGCTCTTCATGAAGCAAGCCCGGCTGCCTGCATGCGCCACCACGGGTCTAGAAGTCCAACAGAAATCCTGTCCTAAGTGGTTGTGTCTTCTCAAGGCCGTGCTGCTCATCCCTGTACATGACGGGTTGCCGTACGGCTGCTTTACCTCCCACGATGCCATGTGTTGTCGCTTCTACCTCTCAGCCCTGGCCGGGATAGCCCTCGTCGACGCGTGCGGAATCTCAAGACTGAGTGGCATTGCTTCAGCAGCCAAGGGCCCCTCGGATTCACAAGTCATGAGAACAAAGCCACAGCTGCTTCCCGCGCTTCCCGCATCTGCTCTTCGGACCTTGGCAACAAGGAACCACGCATGTTCGCTCCGTATTCTCTGTGGAGTCAGCCTCCAGCTGCAACGTGGCGATTTCGATCCCACAAGCTGCCCTGGTATCAAAGGAGGAGATTATGCATCCAAGACTCTTGTGCTTCTTGGCTGCTCTCACGGCTTCCACCACTCTGTGCCCAGTTTCTTGCAGATATCCGAGCAAGTCTGGATGTTGATTCTATCAACAGCCGCGTTTGAGCCCCCAAACCGCCACTCGACCTCCCTATCATGCCGTGTATCTTATACAGCTTCCTTCTTTTCCGGTACCGTTCGTCGACTGGGGCCGAGTATCAACCTTCGTCGATGTAGTATACGCCAATATATGCGCACTCCATCGGCATCTTTGGTCTGGAACAGCCACCAGAAGAGATTATGAGGCCTGTCGATGTTGCAATGGGCTCAGCTATAGTGACTGCCTACCGATAATGCCCAAGCAAACACGGCTCCAAGTTGTCCAACGTAAAGTTTGCAGCACCTGCGCGTCATCTCAAAGCTTTGGCTGTTTGGGCAAGTACCACAGAGCTTCTCAGGCCCGGAGGGTGGCATATACTTTCCGTAGAATTGGCTTGAGGGGCTTGGATGCCTTTCATTCTATCAAGCCGGTCGAGAGGAGCCGTGCCTTTGCCTGCCGAATGCTGTATCCTGACGTTGATGGCCAGCCGACATATTGTCCTGGAGGCCTCGATGACGATATGATGAAGCTGAGGAAAGCAGCCAGTCCTTTAGCACACTCCCCTTGAGCCCTTGGCCACTGAGGTGCTGCTTCACCGCCTAGTACTTTTGCCTTCACTCCCCTTGCTTGAAAGACGACAGCAAATAACGCTGAACTATCAGGAATGGAGGGCATTGTGAGCCAATTTAGTCGTGTGCTACCACCTTGCCCCTCAACACTTTGATGGACGCCTGACGCTGAGTGCCTTACTGTAGGGTCGAGTCGGAGCAGGGAACGTATACTTGAGCCGGGTCCAGCTCACGCCAGAAGGCAGTTGTCCCGTCACTCCCGGGGTAAAACGCTGGTCATCGTATTACTTGCCTCATCGGCTACGTGGAACCGTGAGGCCAAGTAGCCCGATGTGGTAACGCGAAGCGAGCAAACATGGGAGTCAGGAGATGATCAACGGATTTGAGTGACGTGAATGGCTCTGGAAATGTTCCAGCTGTCAAATGATGTCTCGACATATGAGTATGATGAAAAGTGTCCATGTTGCGGCATGGTCAGAAAACCGATCGGCATAGCCGACAGCAATCTTTGAAACTTCGGCCGTCGCCAGCTGGCTATCGCCATGTTCTCTCCCTTCAGGGCATCCATACAGCATCGCCACCGCCGTACCCGGCATCTCCTCGCAGGAGCCAAACACTAGCAGCAATATAGCTGTCTTGGTCGACCAAGCTTCTTTGACTTAGCCCCTCCCCGGGTGTATATGTAGAAAAGGGGTAAGTTGTCGCATTGTCGACAGTGATGTGCGACATAGCGCCAACATACAGCGGCCAGAAATTGCGCCACCGGCAGCAAGGTGGGAGAAGAAAGAGGCGACCTCGCTTCAGCTTGGAATGTCTGATTTTGTCCAGCCGGACATGTAGCATTATTAGCTTTGTTGGTCAGTAGTGAAAACAAAGTCAGCAACTTAAGCACATGGTAATATTGTGATAGCCGAGACTTCGAACATGAGTCGCTCGTTATACAGCAACTTCATGATATGACACTTCGAAAGTGACGGCATACATCAAGGTAGCAGACCACTGCTGTACATTTGCAATGCCAGAGCCTCTGAGAAAGCGTTTTCGGAACTCTTGGCTGTGATCAGGATGTCTTCCTTTCCACAAATCAACTGTGACCTCCTTATCAAGGATTCAAGTCGCAATATGGAATACGACCGTCGTCCTCCAGGAACAGCGAGGTTCTCGCAGCTAAATGAAGAGCAATGAGTGCTTGGTCTTGGCACAATCTGTGAGGAGGCTTGTTTCAGGGGACTATTGGCCGCAGGGCACTCTATCGTCAAGAGGGGATTGCTCTCAGGCTGCATGATCCCCGCGAGTGAAGAACGGTTGGTGCCTGTAACCTATAACAGCTTAGCCATACTTTGAGCGTTAGAAGGTGTGTGAATGGGGGGTATATCCCCGGCATGGGAAACTTGCTCATCAGTAATGATGCTTGAATCGTGTCCACGTGCAGTCGGGGCCGTAGGAGTTGCTAACCTGCTATCGTGGGCCTTACGTTACTGCAGTAGATGAAGTAGCTGAAAGTAGTCAATGGAGGCCATTGGGGGGTTAGAAGAAGATAAGAAAAGAACATCACTCGGCATAGCCTATGCTTTCCAAACACGTTGCCGACCTGGACCACCCTGCAAAGGGGGCCACATCATATCATGTGCGTAGCCGGGAGGCGGAGGAAAGTTGTGGAGGGATGGCCTCGATCCTTTGAGGTGCTGACGTAGCAACCGGCACGAGAGCAAGGCAGACAGACTTGAAAACATTAAACGTGGCCGAGTAGACGGCCTTTAAGCAGCCATTCTTCGGCATGAGGAGTCACTTACTCATCACCGGCTGCCAGAGAGATGCCTCTGTCTGCTGGCCTTGGCCCAATTTCACTTGGGACGTCAGGCAGAGCTCGGCATTTGCCAGCACCTGTGAGCCGAAGGACGGAGCTGAAAGGAGGCAGTGAAGGACGGTAGAGGCAGCAAGTAACCGAGGTCGGATCAGAAATGAAGAGCGGGTGCGGGTGTTGTGCGTCAGCTTGTCTCTGCTGGCACACAATTGTGCGTAGTCCGCCGGAGAGCGCATCCGGGTGACTGGAGTCAAGGAAACTGGTTGGGCGCACCAATGTTAGAACCATACGGTGTTACAACAAATTGTCTCACTTGCAATCACCAGAAAGAGGCACTTTGTCATGGATCGGATCTGTGGCCACACCAGCAGGCTGAGCGAGCAGCGTTGATAATGTCGGCCGACGAGTCTGTGTGCGACCGCGGGAGCATGGAGCATGGATGATGGCATCACTAGCTCCTATCTCCTGATGAAGCCTGCGTTGGGTGGCCTGGACACAGGGGCGTGAGGCATGAGGCTTGAGGCTTCTCCGACCTTGCCATGCCCAGCTCCCAGAGGCCATCGCGAGACCTTTGCCTCCCTTCTAGGAATGTGAGTCGAGCTGCAGCGGCGAGTGCGTCTTGTCGAGATGCGAATCATGAAGTGCTGCTACGGGCGTAGATTTGAGTTCTCGTCATTGCCGCCGTCCCTGTTGAGCAGATGGTAGCTACGAATGCTGGATATCTGCATGACTTGAGGCTGTGCATTCTTTTATGTGATGCAGCTGTACTGTAGAAGAGAACTCATTGCAGGCTCAATGAAGACGGGAGGTATGCTGGTACACGTACGAATCCCCAGGTGGTGCCTGCCTTGAATTCAGGTCGATAAGTAGGTAGTTGGTAAGTAGGTAGGTAACATGGTTTCATGGTTCCTGCCTCTGCGGAACGTGTAAGGTAGGTACCTACCTACTAGTAGTAGGTAGAAGTCTCGATACCTTAACCTCGGAGCTCTGGTCTAGGTACAGGTACATGATGCACAGCATCGACTGCGTGTAGGGTACCTCGCGTTCCCGTCTAGATCGAAGGCGACCCGGTGTAGCTCGCCGCACGCGCTGCTTATCATCTGGTACCACCGAGTGCCTGCCAATCTCGGTGAGCGCCTGGCGCCTGCCCTGCCCACTGCATCCACAAGGTGATGCCTCACACCTCATCTCTCCGTCCATGATCAACCAACTGCCCCTCTTCTCCAGATGTCCTCCCTCCCCCTCCCTATACCAACAACCCGAACCCCTGTCGGCTCTTTGACCTCTGTGGCCAGAGCCCTTCAGGTCCCGTCCTTGTGCACTTTTACACAGCTTCAAGTTCCATTGAGCATCTCACCTGCTGAAGCGCTGCAACAAAGCGCTAGCCTCATCTGCTCCCTTCCAACGTCGAAGCTGGAGCCCTGCGAGCTCTTTTTCAGGGCTAGATCCAGCGACATGGGGGCCCGTCCATCGCGTGCGACTCCATTGGATAGGACGGAAACTCCCCAGGAAGAGTAATCCATCAAACGCGCAGTGGCCAATGAGGCGGACAAGGCTCAACAACGGTCTCTCAGGCTAGAATACCTCCGTGACCTTGCCTTCCCCTCTGCAACGACCACCTTCCGGGTACCTGGAGCGCACCGTGGGTCGTCGGCCTCTGCTCCGAGCCCCTGCTGGCTGCTCTGGAGTTTCTGGACACTCTCGCAGCTTCCCCCTGCTCACCGGTTGCAAGCACGATATGGCGCTCTG